GGGAGGTGCAGGCCCCACCACATGCACAGCCCCAGGAAGAGCAGGTAGTAGACGCTGGAGGCGGCAGAGGGCAGGATGATCCCTGGGGAGCAGCGCCCCGTGGGCAGTCAGTGCATGGCCATGCATCCCCTGGAACGAGCATCCCCCCAGACCGAGAATCTCCCACTGGACTGAGCATCCCCCCACCCCCAGACCAAGCATCACCCAGACCAAACATCCCTCCTGGACCAAGGATCTCAGCCCGGGGCCAAGATCACCCAGATTGAGCATGTCCCCCCTGGATTGAGCTTCCCCTCCAGCAGCATGACTACTCACCCCCCCACCCCCCAGCTCACCATGTGCCTCCCACATCCCATACCCACCAGCCAAAGCCAGCAGCACGATGGCCAGGCCCTTCCCAGCCACCCAGAGCAGCCAATGAGCCGTCACCCATAGCCTGGTGCTGAGTCGTGTGTCCCCACTGGCCAGGCCACTGTGCTGCTCCACGTTGTCCTCTTCCCCCTGCCAGGCCAGAGGAGCACAGAGTGAGCCCCGTGAGCCCTCATGCTGCTGCTCACCGTGCCTCAGTTTCCCCACTCAGTGGGGAGCAGGGGCAGAGGGCAGGGGCATCCTGCCCAGTGCTGGGCAGATGAGCAGCCCAGCGACCTGGCTGTGTTGATCTCATTATCCCCTTGGAAAGCTCTTCCAAAAAGCAGCTGTTTTTCTTGGCCCCAGCAGCTGGGTTCCCAGCGCTGAGCTTTTTTCCAGGCTGCCTCCAGCGCCGGCCCCGCACTGCTCCGGTTACAGCCTGGCCAGAGCCACAGCCACGACAGCCTGGATCAGCAGGGAGCACCTCAAAAAAGGGCTGAGCCCCGAGGGGTGTCCTCTGGGCTGGGGAGGTGCCATCACCCTGGGGTTGTCTTGTCCTGGGTGATCCCAACGCCAGGAGCAGAGTGTCCTGGAGCCCCTGGCAGTGCCGGGCAAGGGGCACAGCACAGCACCCTGCCAGCAGGCTGGGGGTGGCTGCCAGCAATCCATGACTGCCTGCCCTACTGCCCTTCCCAAGCCCAGGGGTTTTGGGGTGGCTGTGCCAG